CAGAGGACCAGATTGAACTTTTTTGGATTTTTCTACCTGGATTATTGAGCATGCATCAGGATATTTTGAATCACTTTGGCCAGGATTGCCTCAAACTAGTAAGAGAGTTTGAGAAAACAGCAAGGAAGATGGCAGACTACAGGAACCACTTGCGATTCAACCTCAGATGTCGACAAAGTGGCATCATTCCCAAGAGCCTGGAACTAAAATAATCGGTCAGCGAGCACCGGGCAAGCAAGATCCTTCAGAAGGCACAGACCCAGCTGCTGAATGAACGGGTGAGACCGACCAATTTTACTATTGAGACCTTGAAGGCCAAAGAAGCTTCAGTAGCTTTCCACACCAGATGATCTGTGTTTTGATCCTATATGCTCCACACTGGTTTGTCGTCATTATCTGCATCGTTTTTATGTCTATATTCTGATTTTCCTCATTTTGTATTTTGCTTTGTGTGTTACCTGTTGTTCTGTCTGTACAGCACTTTGGTTGGCCTTGTAGCTGTTTTAAGTGCTCTATAAATAAAGTGGTATGGTATTTCCTCCGCCATCTTGTCAGGAGTCTGAATTTAATTCTAACTTTAAAACTTATCCAACATTAATACAACTTATTTCAAGTTGTCTTTTTGGTCATGCATGCATAGATTTGTACAAATTGTACTCGAGAGGAGATTATTACAGCCTCATATAAAATCAATGATAATGATATCGGAACTGGATCGGTATCGGTCGACATTCGGACTTGGGTATCGGGATCGTATCGGAAGTAAAAAAAAAAAAAAGTGGATCGGTGCATCCCTAATAAAAACCAAGACAAACAATTTCATATTTGCTGCAATTCTCCAAAAACTTCAATCTATCGGGTACTAATTTTTGAGGTTGAAGGCCAGGGAGAAGAGATGTGTTTTCAGTCTGGACTTAAACTAATATGGGGGCCGAGATGGTGTAGAGGCAGGGCAGCCGGCTTGGGACCCGAAAGTCCCAGATTCCATCCCCAGTCACTGCACATCACGTGGCGTCTCTGGGCAGCACACCTCATCCCCAAAATGCCCCCCTGGTCGCTTTCAATAGCTGCCCACTGCACCACCTGGTGGTGGATGGGTTAAATGCAGAGACTAATTTCGCCATTGTATGGAAACATACAGTGCTGACATTGTGATGACATTATTATTATTATTATTATTATTATTATTATTATTATTATTATTATTATTATTATTATTATTATTATTATTATTATTAAACTGATCTACTGACTGAGAGAGCTTCACAGACAGAGGGAGGCTGCTCCACAGTCTGGGTGCTGTCACAGAGAAGGTTCTATCACCTCTTGTCTTCAACCTAGCTTTAGGGACAGCCAACAAGAGCTGGTTGGCTGACCTGAGGTCTCTGGATGGAGTGTAGGGCTGCAACAGCTTGCTTAGGTAAGATGGGCCCATGGAGTTTAAACATTTAAAAATAGGGTGCATCGATCACAGATTTCTAGAAAGCCTGACCTGCCGATACCGATTTTGTTTTATAAGCGACACTGTCAGGTGTTATAAGGTCACAATGCACCTTCAATTTTCCAATATTATTTTACTGAAAAACATACCCTTGAACAATATCCTAGAAACAATACAAACTTGTTTTAACTGACCATGAGGTGGTGCTCTGAAATATAAATGAAGTTCAGACGATTGTTGTTAAAACTTAAAAAAATCGGTAAAATCGTTTTCTCATGCAAGTATCGACGGATTTCCCAAAATTAAGGAAATCGGGGCCAATTTATCGGTGCACCCCTACTTAAAAACAATCAGTAAAACTTTAAATTTCACACGAAAAGCAACGGGGAGCCAGTGAAGGGAGTGTAAAATGGGGCTAACAGATTTGTGCTTCCTTATGTTCGTCAACAGACGGGCTGCAGCATTTTGGACGCTCTCCAATCACTGCAGGGAGCTCTGGTCCAACCCTAAGTACAAAGAATTACAATAATCCAAACGTGATGTAATAAATGCGTAGATGGTCCTCTCAAGGTCAGGTGGAAGATGAGGTAGAAGAACTAAAAATAAAAATGTAACTTGAAAATTATGAAAATATACACAAGACACTCCTGCATATAAACCGCGAGGTACAAAGTGTAAGAAAAAAGCGCCTTGTACACCGGCAATTACGGTATCCGTGTAGAGTCTTGAGCATCCAGTAGGATGATAAATGTGATGATTCATGCACACTTTGTCAGTGTGGGTTTGTTATATTTTGTATCACCCCGTTTGTTTAATTTGTCCTTCTGACAAACTTTGTTTCCTCAGGGGTCTGTGGAGCCCATGCAGATTGATGCAGACCCTCAAGAGGACCAGCAGAACGCTCCAGACATCAACTACATTGTGGAGAATCCTACACTGGTACTGAAGTTTACTCTGGCTCAGTTCTTTACACACATTTATTGTCCATTGTTTTTAAAGACGCCTTCCAACAAGGACACGTGGACTCAGTACTGTACTTTCCTGTCTATAACTCATTACTTTTTCCACAAGCGTTGAACCCTGCAGCTTATAAAATGGGTGGGTGGTGAGGTGGGTGGGGGTGATGGAGACACGTCGTGAGCAGTGCTTTGTTGATACTGACAGTTTCAGAGCAGGGTGGAGGAGAGAGACAGAGACGCAGCTCAGCCGCATGCTGTCTGTACAGACAGGTTTTTTTTTTTGTTTATTTTGTGGGTGTGGGGGAGACACACACACATGAGCTGTACGCTGATTGTACCAACTGTTTTCGAGTGGAGGTGTGTGTGTGTTTGTGTTTGTGTGTGTGGGGGGATGTCAGTGTGAGGGTTCAGCATGAGGAAACGGCTGCCTTTTCTTTTTAGCTAATACACCTGCATTGCAAGCCGCTAGTTTAACGTTACATCAGTGCCGACAGGTTGTTGGGTGGGGGTGGGGGGTGTTCAGTAGACGGGTCGCTCTGGTCTGTTGACGGGACATGGCGCCCCGCTTGTACAATGGTAGAGGAAACACTGATGGGTAAAATTTATGTTGTTAATCATTTCGATTAGTTGTTTAGCATTGAGGGCAGCACGGTGGTGCAACTGGTAGAGCTGCTGCCTCTCAGCGAGCAGGTCCTTGGTTCAAACCCCAGTCCAGGGGCCTTTCTGGGTGGAGTTTGCATGATCTCTCCGTGCATGTGTGGGTTTCCTCCGGGTACTCCGGTTTCCTCCCACAGACCAAAAACATGCATGTTGGACTGATTGGTAACTCTAAATTGTCCCTAGGTGTGAGTGAGAGAGTGAATGGTTGTTTGACTCGTTTGTCTCTATGTGGCCCTGTGATGGACTTTTGGCCTGTCCAGGGTGTACCCCGCCCCTCGCAGGTTAGATTAGATGGTCTCTTTGGTACGCCCCCTCCTCCATTTCCGGCCCTCTTCCTTGTTGACAGTCGTGTCAAACTGGTTGAAAGGGCCGGCAATGAAGGAAGGGGCGTGGCAAAGAGACCATCTTAGCACCAACATAACTGGTTTGTTCCACTTTGGAGTAAGCTGTTGGGGGAAGAATCAGTTTTGTTGTGTGTTTCCTTGACTGATGAAGCCTTCTGGATCAAAGGTGAAACGTTTCAACACAAATAAAGAAAGTGTCCAGATGACCTGACTGAAAAATGTTGGATTGTACAAACCGGAATCCAAAAAAGTTGGGACACTAAACAAATTGTGAATAAAAACTGAATGCAATGATTTGGAGATGGCAAATGTCAATATTTTATTCGTAATATAACATAGATGACAGATCAAAAGTTTAATCTGAGTAAATTTAACATTTTAAAGGAAAAATATGTTGATTCCAAATTTCACAGTGTCAACAAATCCCAAAAAAGTTTGGACAAGTAGCAATAAGTGTCTGGAAAAAGGAAATTGAGCATGTAACGAAAAGCTGGAAGACCAACTAACACTAATTAGGTCAATTGACAACATGATTGGGTATAAAAAGAGCTTCTCAGAGTGTCAGTGTCTCTCAGAAGCCAAGATGGTAAGAGGATCACCAATTCCACCATTGTTGCGCAGAAAGATAGTGCAGCAATACCAGAATGGTGTCACCCAGCGTAAAATAGCAAAGACTTTTAAGTTACCATCATCAACCGTGCATAACATCATCAAAAGATTCAGAAAATCTGTAACAATCGCTGTGCATAAGGGTCAAGGCCGTAAAACTCTACTGGATGCTCGTGATCTCCGGGTCCTTAAATGTCACTGCACCTCAAACAGGAATGCCACTGTCAAGGAAATAACAGAATGGGCTCAGGAATACTTCCAGAAAGCATTGTCAGTGAACACAATCCACCGTGCCATCCGCCGTTGCCAGCTGAAACTCTACAGTGCAAAGAGGAAGCCATTTCTAAGCAAGCTCCACAAGCTCAGGTGTTTGCACTGGGCCAGGGGTCATTTAAAATGGAGTGTGGCAAAATGGAAGACTGTTCTGTGGTCAGATGAGTCACAATTTGAAGTTCTTTATGGAACACTGGGACGCCATGTCATCCGGACCAGAGAGGACAAGGATAGCCCAAGTTGTTATCAGCGCTCCGTTCAGAAGCTTACATCACTGATGGTATGGGGTTGCATGAGCACTTGTGGCATGGGCAGCTTGCTTGTCTGGAAAGGCACCATTAATGCAGAGAACTATGTTCAGGTTCTAGAACAGCATATGCTCCCATCTAGACATCATCTCTTTCAGGGAAGACTCTGTATTTTTCAACACGATAATGCCAGACCACATTCTGCAGCAATCACAACATGACTACATAGGAGAAGGATCCAGGTACTGAAATGGCCAGCTTGCAGTCCAGATCTTTCACCTATAGAGAACATTTGGTGCATCATAAAGAGGAAGGTGCGACAAAGAAGGCCCAAGACGATTGAACAGTTAGAGGCCTGTATTAGACATGAATGGGAGAGCATTCCTATTTCTAAACTGGAGAAACTGGTCTCCTCTGTCCCCAGACGTCTGTTGAGTGTTGTAAGAAGAAGGGGGGATGCCACACAGTGGTAAAAATGGACTTGTCCCAACTTTTTTGGGATTTGTTGACGCCATGAAATTTGGAAACAACAGATTTTTCCCTTAAAATGAAACATTCTCTCAGTTTAAACTTTTGATCTGTGATTTGTGTTCTATTCTGAATAAAATGTTAGATGATGGCACCTCCACATCATTGCATTCAGTTTTTATTCACAATTTGTTTAGTGTCCCAAATTTCTTGGAATCCGGTTTGTATACCTTGATTATTGAGCATGGACTTTGTTGTTTTCAACAACAGCTATATTGTAAAACTATGTAAAATACTAAATACAGGAACATGTGTGCATTAGTTTTTGTCAAGAACTTAGCAGATGTTTGAATATCAAGATATATATTGTACATCCATCCATCCATCCATCCATCCATCCATTATCTTTACCCGCTTATTCCATTTTGGGTCACGGGGGTCGCTGGTGCCCATGTCCAGCAATCACTGTGCGAGGGGCGGGGTACACCCTGGACAGGTCGCAAGTCCATCACAGGGACACATAGAGACAAACGAGACAAACAACCATTCACTCTCTCACTCACACCTAGGGACAATTTAGAGTTACCAATCAGCCTAACATGCATGTTTTTGGTCTGTGGGAGGAAACTGGAGTACCCGGAGAAAACCTACGCATGCACGGAGAGAACATGCAAACTCCACCCAGAAAGGCCCCCGGACCGGGGTTTGAACCAAGGACCTGCTCGCTGAGAGGCAGCAGCTCTACCAGTTGCGCCACCGTGCTGCCCATATATTGTACAGTATATCGCAATTTATCTTAAAAATTTCGAGATATTAATTTTGGTCCATATCACCCAGCCACCACACCGGTCTTATCTGGTCTCTGGCAGTGGATAACAAAAGTGGGGTGTAACTGTCTAAATGGTGTGAGCATGCAAAAGCGGAAAAAAACAACTCCTTATTTAGTGTTGCATCTGGGACAGCTCATTGTTGAACGGCTGAGGCTGGACGTGTCCTGTCAGAATCATACTCAAAGTCCGTCCTGAGTAAACAGGACATGGCCCTCAGTGAGGTCAGTGCATGACACTTCTAACACAAAAGAATCTGTGCCCTCATTTACCCATTCATACAGCACTCTACTGTATCTGTACAAAAACTAATCAGTGCTTTATCACATTCATACACCGATGGGACACACATCGAAGGCAATGAGGCATTCATTGTCTTTCCCAGGGACACTTTGGCATGTGGCTGCTGGTGGAATCGAACCCCCAAGTCTTGAATTGGAGGACGACTGCTCTAACCACTCAGCCACAGTCACCCCATAGAGACAAGCTAAACCGATTTGAATTGTGTTAAATTCTGTAATTTTACACACACAACAATTCTCTCAAAGTCATACCTTTTAACTATTACAGATCATTATTCTTCAGGGTTCAGTGAAGAAAAGATGATAAAGATATGTAAACATGGTTAGAATAGTTTAATATTAAAATTAAATTAAAATTATCCGTACTCAGTCAAAAATATTGTATTGTTAGTTTATATGGGCCAAATGTGGACGATGCTGCTTTTTTTCATGATCTCTTCTCTACTCTATCAAATCACATGGATTGCTCGCTGGTACTGGGAGGTGATCTTAACTTTGGTCTAGATAACAAAATCGACAGGCTGAATGCAGTAGGAGCTCAACGCAGTTGGCAATCCATAAATGTAGTTAAACAGTACATGAGTGATTATGGACTCTGCGATGCATGGCGGTCTCTTCACCCTAATAGTAAAGAGTATTCTTTCTTTTCACATGTGCATCACTCTTACTCTTGTCTGGATTATTTTATAATCAGCAACTCATTGCTGACCAACATTTCAGACACTAAGATACACCCTATTGCTGTCAGCGATCATGCACCAGTTACTTTAAATTTAGATAATAAGAATGAAATCTCAAAAAGTATAAACTGGAGATTAAATACCTCACTGCTTATGGATGAAGAATTTATAGAATACTTTAAAAATGAATGGACATCGTATTTAGAGTTTAATGACTTGCCAGGTACATCAGCATGTACACTCTGGGAGGCTGGGAAAACAGTTATGAGAGGGAAAATAATATCCTACGCAACAAACAAAAAGAAAAAAGAAAATAAACGTATTGAGGAATTAGAGAAATCTATCAAATTATTAGAAAGTTTACAAGGAGAGGAAACACAGAAAAAACTACGCAAGATAAAATTAGAACTAAATGAATGTATTGACAAAAAAAACAAATTCTTAGTACAAAGACTTCGCTTGGAACATTTTGTACACAGTAATAAATCCGGTAGCTTTTTAGCTAATCAACTCAAATTAAATAAAGAAAAAACGTCTATATATGGTATTAAAGACACAAATGGTAACAT